TAGGACTTCCTTCCTTCCTTCCTTCCTTCCTTCCTGCCTGCCTGCCTGCCTGCCTGCCTGCCTGCCTTCCTTCCTTCCTTCCTGCCTTCCTGCCTTCCTGCCTTCCTTCCCTCCCTCCCTCCCTCCTTCCCTCCCTCCTAATAGTATAGATTTCTCAAAGGATCTGGGTTTTCACATTCTGGATCCAGAAGCCAGCAGAAGTCTTTTCTTATCTGTACAGAAAATTTCCTTTAGGGGCCTAACCCAAGCCATATTTGATTCATTATAAATAAATTTGGCTAATTATATGTAGTTTGCCTGCATGTACAATGTAATTAAGTTTGTGTATCTTGCATATATCTATCTTAATCAGCCTTCCATCCTTCCAGGGTTGATAAAATGAGGACGCAGATTGTTGGGGGAAATATGCTGACTCTGTAAACCTCTTAGAGAGGACTGTAAAAGCTATATGAAGCGGTATATAATTCTTAAGTGCTATTGCTGTTAATTTCAGCTTTCCTGAAGAAAGGGCACTTCAGCCTGTTATTCACATATGAATAATGTGTGTCAGAACAACATTATACAGTGTCAAAATATGTTAATGTAAGGAATATTTCATACCTTAGGTTAGTGGTACTCAACCTTTTGGGCACCAGGGACCAGTTCTGTGGAGAAAGGTTTTTCCACGAACCAGAGGGGGTGTGGTTTCATGTGCTGCCTGCATCCCGCAGATGGGGCTTCACTGGTTTGCACAGCTGGTTTCTAGCATCCCGCTGACTGGGGTCAGCCCACAGACCGGGGGTTAGGGACCTCCGCCTTAGATAGTCAATAAGAACTTCTGCTACTGTAGAAAATAAGACAGGGTCTTATTTTCTTTTGACCCCCAAAATAAGCTTGGTCTTATTTTCGGGGAGGTCATATTATTTTTGAGGTGCAGGAGGCGGCGAGCGTGGTCACCTCATGGCTGCTGCTGTGTTGCAATATTTTCAGGGAAGGGCTTATTTTAGTGCATGCGCTCAAAAGCCCGATTGGNGGTTGATTTAAACGCTCAATCGATTGATACCACATGGCTTTTACTAGGGGTTAAATCTGATTTCTTAAAAAATTAGCATGCCGCAATTCACATTTTTACAACTTACTGTTCCAGCCGGACGGAGAGTGGCTGCTGAAACCTGTTGCTATTACTTTTTTTTTTTTATTCCTGGTTAGACATTCTCTTTCTTTATCTATATGTTCACTTCCAATCTGCATTAATTAAATTTTCTTCATGTTCATTTTATTCTTAATAATGGTTTATTTTTTTATTTTTCTCTATATTTTGGTGTTTGTCTTTTCATTGTAAGGCCTACGTCATGCTAAGCCATAGTTGCAGTTAGGAGGAGCAATAGCGAATCATGGTTTCAAATTGAGTGGTTTACTACCTGAAAGCAAACAATAATATAGTATGTGGTGTGAACTCAGACATACTATTGGGTGGCACTACGGTAAATGTTTAAGGTATTTCCACAAATAATATCTTAGTACCCATTTGGGTAAGGAATTTTTTATCTTTGTGTCTACCTGTCTGCTTCTGAATTCTGAGACATTGTTAATCTGATGCTTGCTGCTCATGGTGGATTTAATTATCAAATATTTCTCAACTTTCAGCAACGTGAATTAAACAAAGTTAGCATTTGGTTGTTAGCAAATGATGACTCTGTCATGCTCTACACTAAGACTGTTTTTCAGTTACTCTGATTGGTTTTCATGTTCCATGTTTGTTATGAACTGTGGTCCAGAGATCTAACTAATGCAGAAAACCTACATTGCCATATGGCAATTTAACAAAAATTTCCATTCACATACATGGATGGTTATTCATTGAATGTTTGAATATGGCTTCAGAAAGAAGCAGGTGATATACACAATGGTGTACTATGCTGGATGCTGTAACTGAACCCTGCAGAAAAAAAAAGTCTAGTCTATATTTGAACTCCAAAACAGCTTGAAGCAGTGGTGAAATTCAATTTTTGTTACTACTGGTTCTGTGGCTGTGACTTGGTGGGCATGGCAGGGTAAGGATACTGCAAAATCTCCATTCCCACCCCACTCAAGGAAAAGGATACTGCAAAATCTCCATTCCCACCCCACTCTGGGGCCAGCCAGAGGTGGTATTTGCCAGTTCTCTGAACTACTAAAAATTTCCACTATTGGTTCTCCAGAACCTGTCAAAACCTGTTGAATTTCACCCCTGGCTTAAACCCT